TACAAATGTAATGTGTTTTTAATATGTTAGCTATTAATCAGCAAACGACATCACCTTTTCATTGACCATATAAAGCGATACATTTAAGGATTCAGTCAGAATATAATAAAGAAACATGTAATAAGAAAAGTATATTAGTACTTGTGTTATTGTTCTCCTAAATCTCAATTTACAAGTAACATTTCTTACAAATGGGTTGCAAACCAGAAAACAACAAAATCACATCAAAACTCAAAGCTGCAAATTAAAGTTTCAACTGTACAGATATGATTAAGGGGAAATAAGATAACTAAAGCAATGAAATCGGTAAAACAAACTGTATTTGCATAGTTGCTGGATTGCCTGTGCTTATTTGAGGCATTGTAAACACAATGGGACTTCCCAAAAAAGTTGATTCTGTTTATTTGGATGCAGCATTTGATTGAGCATGCATCAAGACACTATAGGACTTACAAAAATCACGAGTCCAGATGTGCATTAATTAATTTCCATTTTTAAGTTGTTCCCTAAAAATAGGAAAGCCTTTCCGGCGTTCCTCCCTGATAGCATCGGACAGACCTTTGCAAACTCTAATACCAGAGAACAGGTTCTGACTTGGAATGAAAAAGTTGCATAGTTGACCATTTTCCAAGTAACCTTCAAAGTCCTGCAGGAGCACCTGGAAACAGTCGCTCAGGTCTGAGACTCTCCACTTGTTGTCATCAGTTCGCAAGCAACAGGCATGTAAGAGTGTAGTTTTGACATGATAAGAGCAAAACTTGTCAAATGAAGAGTCCCTTTCCTTCAGCAGATGTAGCAGGTGCTTTAGGAGTTTCAGACAGGACTTTCTGTGTGCAAGGAGAAAGATACAGAGATTTTGGGACCTTGGATAATTAAACTTTCACAACATGACATTAGGTAAGAAATCCTTAAACATATCAAACATTTTCTTCAGTCTGCTTACTTTCTTGAGTTGAGAGATAGGTATATGTGCATAGAAATGGATGGATATAAGTGTCTAGAGATGGAGATATAGGGGTGTGTTTGTGTTTAATATAGAGCTGCAATGATTCATCCAGCAATTGAATAATAAAAAAAAATCTTTGCTTCGATGCTTTGTTTAACACACGACTCTGTAGCGCACCCTTATCACCATGGAAATGCGGGCATGTCAGCTGCATTTGTGACAAAAAGCAAACCTGTAATAGAACTGTATTTAGGAGCAGTGAACGACTACAGAGTCTGCCGACACTAAACCTATGAGGCCCCCAGTTTTCAACAAAAGCATAGATAACACAAAAAGCTGCAATGATGATGACGCTGGCAAAGTTTAACATGAATCTGCAGTAAGCCTCCAGAAGTTGTATTAAAACATGCAGACAAACTGTTAACTTAGCCTGATACCATGTTTAAATTATACAGCTGACGACGTACATGAAACCGATACCTGCAGCAAGCAAAGGGGGGACATGAGGTTTACTAGACCAGATTAATTTCAGGGCTTTCGCAACATTTATCAGATTGAAGGTGAAATGATATAAAATGATGTGTTAATTAAATTGCATTAATATTTGAGAATATAAACAAACAGTTTTTCACAAGCCAATAAAAATGTACATGGGCCAATAAAACTCTGGACACTGAATTATTATTACTATTAAGTAACACCTGCACCATTATAACGTTTGTTTTCAGCAGCACAGAAAGTATGCATCAAACTTTCCATCAACTATGGAATGCTGATATTCTCGCTTTTCTTTATTGCAGCCACCACATTCTCTTTTAAAGGCCTACAGATACAAACTCGCTCTTTGCTTGACCTCTCACACTTAAAACACATAGGCACACACAGATGCACAAAAATTCAGAAACATGAATGCACAACAAATCTACCTCGTCAAGGAGATAAAACTCGTACTTGAAAGTATTTATATATTTTTGCATTTAAGAAAATGCTTTCTTTAAAACATTTAATTTAATATGGTGCATAAATACAATGAAAGGGTTTCGTTCTTTCTGTTGTTGTTAACAGATTTCAAAACATTGCAATTTCTAAAATGGAAACTAATTAGCAGTTCATTTTGAAAGACCTGTTTTCGCTTTTAAATGTCTATTATTGCTCATTAATAAGAAATAAGACAAGTAGTTATCCAATTAATGGACTCATGTACCAAACACCAACAAACCACATGGTTGGACGAATAATTTTTTTGCCATTGTGTTCATTTTCTACCAGAAAGCAATAATTTGGTTTAATAAGCATGTTGTTCTAACCTGCAGCAGTTTTCTCCACTTTGTTCACAGCAAGTCTTCTTTGATCCATGATTTTTCAGGATGGCCTTCTCAATGTGAGAGAATGAAACTCTCCAAACATCTGTATGTTAGAGATGACGGAAGAGAACAGGGAAATTTTAAGCTTTTTATACCATCATGAAAATTGCACATTTTGAACTGTAGTAACATTGGTCAAGTGTTAAAGGGGATTTCTGCTTCAATGGGAAACCTACACCGTAGCTACATTATGACTGCCAAACCCTCTGAAACCCTATGCCATTACTTTATATATTACCCTTTCATAAATCCTGTTGACTACATTTTATTTACCAACGTAAGCAACGGTCATACACATGAAAACGCACAGAAACATTGAAAATGACTTTTTGGCACAACACTGACAACAATGTCAGCCACAAACATTCTAACCAGGATTCAGTTGTCTTATAATACTGTGTCCTTTCTCACTTCTACTGCAGTTAACAAAAACTTTATCTATTTCGTTCAGTGGCTCACAATCACATTATGATTTTTTTTTTTTTTTTTAATTCACTAATTGAGAGAGGTTAAACTTACCTTTATTACGGACACCATCATTTTCCACTGTACCCTTGCCCTCATATTTTGGGACCAGATAATATGGCTCTCGCTTGTAATCTTGCTTAATTTTATGCCCGAGCCAGCACTCTATTTTAAGGCCTTCGGTTGTGAAAGGCGGCCAGCTTGATTTAACCATAAGGCAGAGAACAACATCCAGTGAAATTGGGACTGATTGTACATATGTGGTCAGGGTCACTGCTGGACAGCCTTTTTTCTTCTTGTCCACCCTCCATTCTGAAAGAACAAACAAAAACCTTACTCCAGACATTCTATGGTACTGGATGCTGTATATTAATACATTACAATATAGAAAGCATAGATAAATAAGCATGTTAAATTAAAGGCCTTGTCAAATTGAATTCTTCCTCAGGCCCTTTTTTACTGTAAAATTGAAATTTCACTAAAACTAACTTAAACTTTGATACTCACCAGTAAAATTCTTGACACATTTCTTCACTTCTTCTCTGAACTCATTGAGCATCTTGGTAGCAGATAAAATGCCATTTTCTAGAAATCTTTCCAGATTCTTCTGGCCACGTTTTAATTCCACACTGTAAAATGCGCCATCAGTTCCAAATGGTTCAAGTTTCACCCGATCAACCAAGATGGGCAGCATGACGTCAAATTCATCGGGATTACAAATCTGTGCAACATACAAGTCATACATCAGATTGGACCACAAATCCTGTTCTGAGTTAACTGCGGGAACTTAGAGTGTAAAACCTTACCTTTAGATTTTCATAGTAGCTTCCTGTTTTTAGGGGTTCTTGTACGTCATTAAAGCTTAATGTATTCTGTTTTAAATGATTGATTATATTTTGTATTATCGCATTTATGACTTCTGCTGCGTTTGCTTTGTCAATCATCTTAATTTTCAATTTTTTCAGAGTTTCCTTAAGGATATAATCTGTTGAAGCTTTTTCTTCGGTCATGTCTTTCCTTTTTAAGTCCTCAGATTTTCCTGGTGCAACCTTTGTATCCTGCACAGCAGATTGTACTTCTACTTTTGGCTTGGCACCACAGGCTTTTGCTGGTGGTGATTTGGCTTTGCCAGCACATATTTCGGTTTTTGTGGTCTGTTCTGAAGCCTCTCTTGTATTCTTTGGAGTCTGTTGCTCTGCCTTTGATATCTTCTCAAAATATTGCTCATTTTGCATCTTTGCATCAAGTTGTTCTCTTAATCTTGGCTTGGTGCCACAGGCTTTTGCTTTGACAGTGTGCACAGAATCCTCTGTAGGATCTTTTAGCTGTATCTCAGTCATTTCTGATGGTTTGGCCTTCCTAACACGTGGATTTGTTTTTCTGGTACCCTCTGGCTTTACTTCCTCTTCAAGTCCTTGTGATTTTGTCCTGTCAGAACATCTTTTTGTTCTTGTGGTTTTTGGAATTTCCTTTTTCTCCAGTTTCTCCAGTGGAAGTTGTTCTGTCGACTTGGTCCTGGTCGCACAAGTTCTCTGCGCTCTGCTGTGTTGAGATTCTCCTCTGGCACTGTCAGGAGGAAACTTTTCTTCAGCTTTCTTTGGTTTCTGTTTCGTTTGTTTTTCACTCCGCTTCCCTTCTGTTAAATCAGGAGAACTTACTTTAGTGCACTCAGCGTCGAGACTGTTTAGCTTGCGCGGTTTCCCTCTCCCAGCCATGACAGTGTAATGAATGAAACTTGTCTGGCAAGATTAATCCTTAGTGCGTCCTTTTATTGTATGAGAACACACCCCTTTACTTTGCCACATCCTGCCCTTATGCTGATTCAGCCTTTGACGTATACTCACCGGATGTAAACTGTGAGTGAAAGCTTTTCTGCAGGTCCTATTGCATGTAGTCCTCACGTATGCTATGCTGTGTGTATTGTGTAATAGCACAATCACTCGGTGAGTGCTGGGTTTATTACTTCCTGGATGATTGCTATTGGCCATAGGGTGAGACTATAGCCTTCTAAGGTGCCGACACAGCACTGTGCCTGCAATTTTATAAACTTGATCTTTGTTTGAAATTCTTATTAGTTTCTCTTTTATTTCTATATCAATAGCTACATCTTGTGGATAGAAAGGTGTATTGCAGATATTGTGTCATATTTTAAGAATCTTAAACTTCAACACAACTGTTGCTCTCACAGCTTTACACAGAAGGGGGAAAAACTGCTAAAGGCAGCACATTTTGGTTGAAATATGTTTAATGTTACAAAGAGGCTCATGCCATCTTACAATAAGGTGCTATAGCTTATGCCAATTTAAACTACAAGTGCAGGTGCAAAATTAGCAAAATGCCAATCAAAGTGCTTTAAGAGTCCACATGTGGACTAGAGTCCTGGGAGGACAATTTTTGACCTTTTTTTGTTTTAAGTTCTTTTTAAAGCTTAAACAGAACAAATTCTCTACTACTCCACTACACAGAAGGACACAGTTATGACTCCTTGCTCCTAGAGAGCGCCATATAGTTGCAAACAAACACTAAAAGCAAGACAACATATAATATCATGTAAAGAGTTCAGAACCTACACTCCATTGAACTAGAGAGGTGATAGGTTGCAGTATCTCTAATTATTAGATGTCTAAATAGCACAGAATAGTGTTTCCATGATGCGAATCAACAGTGCACACATTTGAAACATGTTGATGTTACACTGTACTTAATGGTAATCTAACCACTGAAATGGAACCAGGAGTGCTGCCTCAAGGACTAAAGATCTAAGTGTTTTTCTTTCCTTCGAATGCTTTTGCGATGCATTGTGATGATTAACCAGTCTTTAATTATTAAGTTGAAGTAGCCAATTCTAGGATGAAGTTGGATGACTGATGTCCTGCCTTGGGAGACCTTGGGGTCGGCAGAGTAGCACAACATTCATTTGGTCCTCTGGGCCTTCTGGGCAGACTTGGTGACTTTACCAGTAGTGGAGACCTTTTTCTCCACACCTTTAATCACGCCGACAGCCACAGTCTGACGCATGTCACGCACCGCAAAACGACCTGCAAAGTGAAGAAGAATAAAAGACGTTTGAGTTCATCATAAAATATCGCATGACTTCAAAGTGGAGCCACGATGCCTTTTGATGAGGGAAGCTCTTGAAACTCTAGGAACTACTTGAACTCACCAAGGGGAGGGTATTCAGAGAAGCTCTCGACACACATTGGTTTGCCAGGGATCATATCTACAATTGCAGCATCTCCAGATTTTAGGGATTTAGGGTTGTCCTCCAGCTTCTTGCCAGAGCGGCGATCAATCTTTTCTTTGAGCTCTGCAAACTTGCAGGCAATGTGAGCAGTGTGACAGTCCAGCACGGGAGCATAACCTGCGCTGATCTGGCCTGGGTGGTTGAGGATGATCACCTGCAAAGCAAAGGGACAACATCAGTGCCTTATTAATAACCGCAAAAAAATGCTTTCTTGTTTTTTTTATTTCTAGTTTTTCTGCTGTCGTCTTATTTGAACACATTCTTATCTGCCTTGAGGATTGAGAATATAAATAGTTCTGACATTAGATGGAGATGAATTTAAGTCATGTGCTCGTTCTACTATAATTGGATTTTTTACATCCAAATCTTGTACCTACCTGAGCAGTAAAGTTGGCAGCTTCCTGTGGTGGATCATTTTTGCTGTCACCAGCAACATTGCCACGGCGAATATCCTTGACAGATACGTTCTTGACGTTAAAGCCAACGTTGTCACCGGGTAGGGCTTCGCTCAGTGCCTCATGGTGCATTTCTACAGACTTGACCTCGGTAGTCACATTGACAGGGGCAAATGTCACCACCATTCCAGGCTTCAGTAATCCCGTTTCCACACGACCTACGGGGACTGTTCCAATTCCTGCAAAAGAGGTCAGAGTAAAGCATATTAAAATGAAAATCAAAGTGTTCCAGTTCTCTACTGAAAAAGGTATGTGGTTTTCCATGTTTTGAAATGTCACAACTATCCTTTATTCCCAAAGTATCTTAAAAGTTTATCCATATGTTATTTGTACACCACTTGCCTCCTATCTTGTAGACATCCTGCAGGGGAAGACGTAGAGGTTTGTCTGTTGGACGGGTGGGGGGCTGGATGGCATCCAGAGCCTCCAGTAGTGTGGTTCCTGACGCATTACCTTCCTTCCTATTTATTTTCCATCCCTTAAACCATGTCATCTAGAGGAAAGAAGGAAAAAATAATAATACACAATTTTATACAGTAATAATTTCAATTCTAAATTAAAATAATAACAGAACATTTTATTGGTTTCTTAACCTCCAGCACATTTTTTGTCACTTTTTAAATGAATGAATGACGCGTCTTGATCTTATGAAGAAGTTAATTTAACTAGCAGAAAGTTGCATTTTATTTTTTCCCTAGCTAACACCACTATGATTCATGTTGAAGAAAAATACTTCTTATTTATATCTATAGCTGCTGAAAGGGAAATTAGAGAAAAAGTTCGCTTTAGATTCTTTGACAGATCATGTTTGAGTTTGTCTAACAGCTGTATTGAGCTACAGCTTTCTATCCACGGCACCAGTCAAACAAATGAATATTCAAATGATGGGCCACATCCTGGCTTTTGCATAACTATGCTTTGTTTTAGTACTTACATTAGGGCTGGGCTCAAGCATGTTGTCTCCGTTCCAGCCGGAAATGGGTACAAAGGCAACCGTGTCAGGATTGTATCCAATCTTCTTGATGTAGGTGCTCACTTCCTTCACGATCTCCTCGTAACGTTTCTGGCTGTAGTTTGGCTCCGTAGAGTCCATCTTATTGATTCCCACAATGAGCTGCTTCACTCCGAGAGTGTAGGCCAGGAGGGCGTGCTCACGAGTCTGTCCATTCTTGGAAATACCTGCTTCGAACTCTCCCACGCCAGCTGCCACAATCAGCACAGCACAGTCTGCCTAAAAATGCAGTGGATGCAGCTTTAGTAGGATTCCTCAGTAACTTTGAAATACTACCACTATTGGATGCTAATACTGTAATGTAATGTACTGTAATAATTTCTACACCAAATTCAACATCTACGATAGTCACTAATGGCAACTGAAATACTTCAATGTAATAGCAAGTGATGCACTTTGTGTACACAAGCTTGCAAAAGCACCTTAAAACATGCAACACAGAAGCGAATATACTTCATAGTGGCCTAGCATCCTCATGTTACACACCTGAGAGGTCCCGGTGATCATGTTCTTAATGAAGTCCCTGTGACCCGGGGCATCGATGATAGTCACGTAGTATTTGCTAGTTTCAAACTTCCACAGTGAGATGTCGATGGTAATGCCACGCTCCCTTTCAGCTTTCAGCTTGTCCAGCACCCAGGCGTACTTGAATGATCCTTTCCCCATCTGGGACACAAGCAACACTAACCTTCAAGACTTTTTTGCAAACAATTTAATCTCTTTTAAATTATATAAAACTCAAACAGCTTCTATTGTGTCAATTTCTATTTGATCCGCATGGCTTCTGCCTTAATATGTGAAGAGCGGCGGGCAGTTAAAGAGGTCGTCTTCCTCTCCCATCTCCTTACCTCAGCAGCTTCCTTTTCAAACTTCTCGATGGTTCTCTTGTCAATGCCTCCGCACTTGTAGATAAGGTGGCCTGTGGTGGTGGACTTGCCAGAGTCCACGTGGCCAATCACCACGATGTTGATGTGGAGTTTCTCCTTTCCCATGATGACTGGAGCTGGCAGAAGTCACGAGGCAGTCTGTCTGCTAAAGCCAGGGTTAAGTTACAGTCAGGAAGCAATGGATTGATGAACTAGCTGTTGTGACTGACATATAGTGAAATGGGCTTGTTGTGAGTGAATAACATATTATTTGATGGTGGAAAATAGCCCAGACTTGTTTGTGTAATTGTGTAACATCATAGGGTTCAACATTATGCTGGCAGAAATTCAAGGTATTGCATGGCTCTGTGGAAAAATACTGGAGTGGGAATCTCAGCTGGTGCAGGAAGAATTTGTAATTACATTAAAATACTGCTCAAAGGAGGAAAGTGAAAGTAACTTGGGCTCAGATTTGCTAAGAAGAAGGCTCTTGATTGTCAGTACGTGTTTTCTTTAGCATCTCAGAAGACTCCGAGGACTAGGGAGGATATCAGTGAACTGCACAGAACACACAACCTCTCTTACTCTATCCCTCCATCCATCCACACCCCTGCTCTCCTCTTTCACATCCACATGCTTCTCCTGTTCTCACCACTCTGATGTGCACCAACACATCCAGGTAGCTCAGATGATATTTCACAGCACCATCCTCTTTTTCACAGCCACAGACTCAGTACAGCTTCCCTCCCAGCCAGAATCCACCATTTTGTCAGGTCTAGTCTACTAACAGTGTAGCAGCCATTACTCAGACACTGCAGTGCACTGTGCACAGGTTCACGCAAAGGGAAACAGGTACTGTTAAAGACTCTGTGGGGGTGACGGGGTGATGACCCTGAACATTAGGCTTCACACATGCACTGCGAACTTTTGTTTAACCAAACCCGTGTGACATATTTAGTCTGAATGCACTCTGCAGCAGGCTGAACGTCAAGTAGCTTAATCCAACTGTAATATGTATCCCCACATGATCTTGCTCAGGTGAACTTAGGGCAAGGACAGTCATCTACATGCGCGCGTTTAACTCATCCTTCACAGATAACGTCACAGCGGCTGCCGCAGTGCGCTTTCACTTCTAAAAGATGGTTAAAAAAATAAACCTATAGAAACAGAGGGCGGAGCTTCAGAAAAATCCAAAGTATTGCACTAAATCTAATGTCTGAAGGAATTAACGGAAATGTCAACCCTCCGCCATGTTCTGTTATCTGCCCGCTTACTGAAGCCTGGATGCGCATTAACTACCAGCCGCCTGTCCTGCATCACAGTATCCCCACACACAGAACCGCTAAAAATAAAAACAGGCCCAGATAATTGACTGCTGGCATCAAAAAATAAATCGATAAAATAAAGTCCACTTCATGCATTATATCGTGTACTGCGTCGTACCTGAGAGCTGGCCGGTGTCAGGTTGGCTGCAGGCGCGGATAGGCTGAGGGGAGACGCTGATCCGGTTATAGCTCGCAGGACAGGCGGGGGTGTTGCGTAATTGCGCGCACCCGCCGTTGCACAGCATCACAACGACGAGTTAACGTAAACGAGTTTATTATAGGGCACAAATATCAGCATCCATTGTCGGACACACCGGCGAGTTAATATGCGCTTTAATGTCTGCAGACAGCTTCAATGATCGGTAATTCCCGACGCATAACTTAAGCATAACTTGGCTTTTCAAGGGAAGGAAAATGCGCATTTAAAATTCAAGACTTTGCATTCATTAATAATTAGCATAGTATACGTAAACAAGGCAGTTGTCGTTATTGTTGCTTTGCTATCATTAGTTGACTTTGAGATATCAGGAATGAGTGACAGCTCCGCTCTTAAAGGTTTGCAGTAAGCAGCAGGTGAAGGGCTCACCTTTCCAGCCGCTCTCTAGTTGGATTAAAAGACGTTATGTGCTTAACGTCTCTGCCAATTACGTTAAAGTGCAGTGGCATTAAAAAAAAAATAGCAGTTGAGGCGTTAAATTATATTTCCATGTTTTCACTTCCAGGCAAACGTATATTTAGTTAAGCAGTATCACCTTTTAAGGACTATTGTGTGACTATAGAGAATTGACTTAATGGGTGCAGGAATTGAGGGTTAAAAGCAAACAAAACGGTTAACCTGTGCACTAACCTGACTAATTTGTTTGCCATTTTCCCTGCTCTAAACCCTTACAAATGTATGACTGGTCCCCAAATGTAATCTACTAATCTTTAGAATAAAACAAGTCAAGGCTGAAAACTCAAAGTTTTTTGAGTCTTTTAGGAAATTGGATTGAGAGGATGCTACCAGCGACGAGGATTAGAAATTAGTATAATCAGAGGGACAGCTCAGGCTGAGCATTTTGGAAATGACGTAGGAGGCAAAAATAAAAAGGAGAGGATAGAAGAGGTTTGTGGGTGCAGTGAAGGAAGACATGCAGAGGGTTAGTGTGACAGGAAGATGCCAGGTTGAGAAGGAGGCAGATGATGGGAGAGAAAGCAGATTAAGTCGCATAGGGCTCGTTTTTAGGCAACTTTGAGCTACTTAAAATTATTAAGTATGTAAAACCACATTATTCTTAGTTAATGTGAAAGGTGTTCTAGGAGATAAAGAAATAATACCCCAACACAAGATCTGATTTACACAGTCTTTATACCACAGCGATTTAAAACATTTCTCTCAAATGTTTTGAAAGAGGAATTTTACAATGATTTTTACAATTACAAGTACAATTTAGTCCCTTTATTCTCTGTGCAAACAAAGCACAATAACAACTGAAATAAATGAAGCCAGTAACAAAAAGAACCCAAAAGAATGAGCCTGCATTGCTGATCCCTTTTGAACTTAAGCAGTAAGGCACGTTATAAATATTCGGAAATTTCAAAGACAAAATGTTAACCTTACACCTTAGCTTGGATTTACCTCTTAACTGAGATTATGTATGAAAGAAAATTGTACATAATGTATAATGTGTGCAAATATGATGAAAAAAATAAATCTGTCGTTGACCCTGAAAGAAGGCGATCACCACACTGACACTTAAAACTTGAGGAAATATGCCTCCATGTGATAAGATTAATCAAAATTTAAAAGTAAACAAACGTCCTTTTAAATCCTTGTAAGATTTAAGATACCTGAGAATTCGGGGAATAATTTAAAGCCATGTCCCTTTATTAATAAGATGTACTGGAGAGATCATAACCTGTGTGACGTTAAATCCTGCTATCTCAAATAAGAGTTGGCTTGTGAACCTGAAAACTCAAGACCACTGTTCCCTCTAAGCTGAGCGCGTGAGCAATCGTGCACTGCTGACAGTCTCCGCGCATAGAAAATCAGCAAAATAAAATAAATACATGTATTTACTTTCATTCCAATTCAGGCTGGATTTTTTTTTTTTGTGCGCAGCACAGATTTTCTGTGTGGGGAGACCATGTGAGCAGTGCGCGATTGCTCACGCGCTCAGCTTAGAGGGAACATTGCTCAAGACACTGCACCATATTACAAGTAATCATTTTTAAAAAAAGTAAATTTCTCTAAGAAAAAAGGATAAAATGCTTGGAGACATTTTTAAGGCATCATCCCTGAAAAAAGTGTACACTATAGTCATAATGCTGAATTTAAAACGTTTGGGGTTTTTAAAATTCACTATAAAGCCTACTGGCACTTCATTAAGGGCTACAAAGTAACAGATTTTTAAAAAAAAAAATTTTTTTGGTGGGCATCGGTGTGTACTGGATTTAAAACTGTCCCTTCTGTAAAAAGGAACCATTGGGTATAGCAGGTTGAATCCACAAAACCACCTACAGTGGAATGATTTTCTTCCATAGCTTATTTATAATGAGTTAATATCTAAAATGCATTATTATCTGTAAATATCAAAGTTGATGTACATTAGCTGACCTTTATAGTTAGTTATGCAGCCTGTAGCTTCATAACTAACTAATCTCATTGCCCCCCCTCCACATACCAGCAAGCCCGTTTGGCTTCATAATGAAAGCTTCCTCTGATACTTCTTGGGAAAGCATATGTTGATTTCTTCTTCTGAGAAATAATATATTTGAGTAGGTACAGCTACAACTTTTTTTTTTTTTTTTTTTTTTAAATCACCGACATTGGGCTC